TTTTAAAATTTCTTCTCGTACCAGTTTCGATAATTTGCATCTTTCTAGACATTTGTTCATTAGGTTGTCTAATTTATTGGAGTTAAGTTGTTTGTAATATTTATTATAAATTTAATAACTGTAGGCTATCTAGTGATATAGGAATTCTCTCTTTTTTTCTTGATCAATCTACTTAGAAATCTAGTTTTGCTTCTAGCTTTAGGTTTATTTTCAGGGGTGGGGTGAGAAACATGCTGATTATCAAGTTTAGCAAGTTTCTTTTCTAGTTTGCTGACGGGTTTTTTTTTGTTGTTGTTGTTGTTTTGTTTTTAATAATTGGACGTTGAATTTAGTAAAGTCAGTATGATGATGACTATGTATTTCCTTTTCAATCTGTTACAAAAGTAAATTGTATTGGATGGTTTCTCAATGTTAAACCTTTCTTGTGTCATGGAATAAATCCCACGAGTGATTATTTATAATCCTTTTTTATCTATTCCTGGGTTTGATTTTTGCATATATGCTCATGAGGAAGGTTCATGTATAATTTTCTTTTTTTTGTTACGCTTTATCTGGTCTTTGTTTCATAAAACACTAGGAAAGGTTTCCTTCCTTGGTACTTTCTGTGATTGTTTGCATAGGATTGTTATATCTTCCTTGTATCTTTTGAGTTTCTGTTACTTGGTACATGAACCTTTATGATTATTATATTTTCTTGCTGTGTGACCCTTTATGAACCATCCTTTGTCACTGTTGATACTCTTGTTCTTAATGTTTGTTTTATCTGATGGATAATATATCCATTTTTGTGCTTTTGGTTACTATTTACAGGTTATGTATTTTTCTATTTTTCAGTTTTAAGGTAGTTATGTCTTTTAATTTGTTGGTCTAGGCATAACATACTTTCATCAGTATCCAATCTATCTTCTATTTTTAAATGTTTGTAAAAGAAATTATGAGCAGGAAAGACAATATTTTGTATGTGTATGTGTATGTATACATGCACTTATACACACCATACATACTACCTGTTTGGTTCCATTGACTCTTAACAATGGTACACATTTTTTTGTGTGTGTGTTTCTTTATTTGATATTTCATGTCAAACACTGCGTGTAAAGGAACAGTACAAACTGTGGTAATCTATATTTATTAATACATATAGAAATGCCTTTTCTTCTATTAGGCCATTAAGAGAGTGTTGAGTTGATCTGGTGTGTAGGTGAGGTGGTTTGGGGCTCCACTGTAGTAATAGAACAGAAATGGAATTTCCTAGTTTCCTACTGAGTATTTCTAAAATTTCATATTATATCCTTTATAAGGTCATTATCTCTATATTTTTATATATACAATGTACACATACACCCATATAGCAGATATTACCTAGTAATAACAAACAACCCAGTAAAAAATGAGAAACATTTTTAAGATGCCCAGCTGAAAAAAATCACAAGATGCAACATTAATCACTTGTTAGAATTATTCTGCATCATCAAATGAGATTGTTCTAACAAATGAACAAAATTAATAAAGCATGTATATTAAATACTACATTTTTCTTTTTGTCTCATCCATTATTAGCATCTGTTGCTCAGAGTTACATGCCTCCAGTTTTGAAAAAAATCTATTAGTGTGTTAAATATTTAGTAACAATTCTAATCTTTGATTTTTTGAAGTAAGTATTAAACTTGAATATTTATAGTAATATCCTGCAAGGAGTAGTATAATATGAAGTAGTACTTCTGGATGTATTTTAGGAATTTCACATTAAAAATGTTTATAAAT